GACTTTTGTAATGGCAGAGCTGGAGAGGCGGTACAAGAGTATCGTAGAAGGTTTCCTAATCGTAGAGTTCTTATTAATAGACATAGACATTTAGTTGAGCGTGGATCATTTGAACGTAATCGTGGACAGGGAAACTCTAATTTGCGAGACGCATTTAAGTTAATTGAAGATAACCAGACAAGGAGTATTCGAACTGTTTCCAGACTCTCGGGGATACCCTGCTCAATAGTAAGTACTATATATATATATATATATATATATATATATATATATATATATATATATATATATATATATATATATATATATATATATATATATATATATATATATAATTTGTAATTAATTTTCAAAAGCAATTTACGTGTTACGAAAATATTTACAAAAGATCGCCATTACCTCTTCAAATCTAAAACCCTGTATCTTAAAAACTAAGACGTTTTGGACCCTAGTTTATATGAACTTTTATCCTTATTTTGGGTGACAGAATACATGGTTAAAATATTGGTCTAATTTCGGGACACCATCTATACCGGGTGTTCCATTTTAAATAATTAAGTCAGCGGGTGTATTACAATATATACTTTGTAACTGTTTTTATAGCATGCACATTTTGTTACGAGCAAGTTTCGTATTTCACATTTTTTGCTAAAAATAAACTTTCATAAAAGAATCCTGCAGTATTAAGCTAATACCACCTACGAAAAGTTAATATCCCTTCTCTTTGTCCCCTTGGTCTGTTTTGCATGTTTTATGCATATGGTGGCTTCGTACTCTTTGGCGTAGCTCGGTTACTCGGGAAGTTCCTTGCAAACAATTTTCGTAACAAACAAATCACGCCTAAAAGGGGCCAATTAATTTTTCGAAATATCAGTGGCATGCGTGGGTTAAAATCGAACCGCAACTACAATAATTTATTCGGGAATCGAAATGCAAATGAACAACCCCGGTAACTTTGTGTATATTATTACACTTACTCGGGATGGAAAGTTTCGATAGTGGGTAATTTCCCTTTTGTAAATTGGAGCGATTACGTTTCTGGAATAAGGGTAGCAGGCATCGGAGCTTAAGTTATTTGCGTAGCTTTCGTCATCCGGACATGAAAATTGAACGAGGGTTATAACTTCATATCCGTTTTTTTTTTTTACGTCTGCCAGACAAAATTTGAATTTTGATGGAAATATTGCAACTGTTAATTTAAATTTTAAGTTCGATTGGTTAAAAATATCGGCAGTATAATTATTTTAGAAGTTTATTATGCAGCACGAATAATGCAGTCAAAAATAATTAAAGTTTTCCAAGCTACAAGTGGCGTTCTGGTTATACAGGGTGGAACATATTGAACACTTTGAAATGAACACTCTCCAAACGAGATAAACATAGCATAATGGTAACAACCGCATATGGATCTTCGTCCTTGAGCGTGATTTTCAAAAATGTAAATTTTTTTAAGAACCGATTTTTTGCTGAGCAAAATTTTGTATTTCTATAAAATAATTTGCAAAGCCATTTTTGCGCACAATTTAATAGAATTTTTTAAAGTAACAGTAGGGATCTGGATATGAAGAGCAAAAAATTCATAAAGTATTATTTCAAAAACTGGAAAATAGCTAAATTAACTTTAAATTTAGCACACTTATCACTAACGAAATTAACGCGCTCCGAAAACGCTTTGAACACTGGGAAGTTATCGGCGGTGCGTGCGGTATTTATACCCTGCGCCGGAGATGGTAACGGTGCTGCTTGTGCGGGAGGGGAGATGGCTCCGCCCCTCGAATTGTCGCGTTCTTAATTTCGCTCGATCCTAGTTGCGATGTCCCCGTTGGCTGCTGCGTATCGCTCTGCTGTTTGATTATCGTTCTCCACGTATTGGATAAATGCAGAGCGTCGTCTCTCGTATTCAGGTGTCCGGACTTTTCTATCTCGATGGCCTCTCGTATAATCCTAGTCCTAAAATCAGGAATATTACCTATTTGTCTGCAAGTACCGAAATCAATTTTATGGCCTGTCTGATGTTGGTGTTGAAACAAAGCAGATGTTGTTTGTTTCTTATGGTTAAACGATGTTCCTCGAGCCTGGCTGAAATCCTTCTGTTGGTCTGTCCGCATGCTACATTGTATACTCCTTGGTTTTCCAGAGTAATTTTTTGTTTTGGGTTTCTGAGTATTGCTCCGACGGTATGATCGGATTTGTATGCCGTTGATATATCGTGTTTCCGTAATATTCGGCCGATTTTGTCAGTAACCCCCTTGATGTACGGCAGAACGGCGATCGATCTTCGTATCCGTTTTGTCGAAGACAGGTACTAATTTTCTTCAGTTCTTTATCTCTGTTCCTCTCGTTTGTGAGCTTGAAGGACCGAGCAATTAATGTATTTGCCACTGCCTGTATCTGTGCTGGGTGGTGATGAGATTTAGCGTTCAGATATCTATTAGTGTGTGTTGGTTTTCTATAGACAGTGTGTTCCAAGTGTCCATCTTCGGTCCTTGTGATGTGCACATCTAAAAAAGACAGACTGTTATCCTCTTCAAGTTCTATTGTAAATTGAATCCTTGGGTGAATGGAATTCAGATGATCTAGGAATTTCAAAAGCTCCTCCTTGCCAAAAGGCCATACAACAAATACGTCATCAACGTATCTTGTCCATAGTTTTGGCTTCAGATTTGCCTTTTCTATTGCTTTCTTTTCGAAGTAAATCATGAAGAGGTTGGCAATCACAGGTGAGAGAGATGATCCCATTGCTGCTCCATCTACTTGTCGGTAAATTTTTTCGTTGTACATAAAGTAAGCGTTTTTCGAACAATATCTTGACAGATCCATTATGTACGGCGGAAGATCTTCGTTTTCTTCTATAAGAAAGAGTGCCTCTTCTACTGGAATGCTCGGGTAGAGGGATTTGACATCGAAACTTGCCATAATGTCGTCCTTGTCCATCGTGAGAGAACCTAAAATCTGCGTGAAATGTTCTGAGTTTTTAACATAGGAATCGGCCTTTTCCACTATGGGCTGAAGTGCACTGGCCAGATGTTTTTCCAGCTTGCACAATGGTGAGTTAAAGGCGCTTACGATTGGACGCAGGGGAACCCCGTCCTTATGGATCTTTGGGAGCCCGTAGAATTTTGGGCAACGACTCGATTTTTCCCTCCGAATAAGTTTCTTCTTTGTATCCTCGTTTATTGATGAATCGAGAATTTTGGACTTAGTTGTTTTTTCCAAATATGTCGCGGGATCTCTGGTGACTAGTTTGTATATTGGGTCGTTCAAAATATCCTCCAATTTTGCATCATAATCCGACTTATTTATGACGACAGTGGCATTTCCTTTGTCTGCTTTCATTATTAGAATATTTTCGTTTTTGTTTGGATTCCTTCAGGCTTGCATTTCTTCTCTGCTTAAGTTTGGTTGCGGTGGTATTTACTGTCTTAAGACTCTGGCGACATCTTGCCTAATTAACTCCGCATCTTGTTCGTCTATGGTGGAAAGACTTGCTTCGACGTTGGAAACGATCTCTTCCACGGGTAATCTTTTTGGAGCTATTGCATAGTTAAATCCTTTATTCAGTACGCTGACTGGAATTTGACTGAAGGATTTCTAATTTCTTCCACAGTTTTTTTGACGTGATGTCCTTGTCTTTCTCAGTGCGCCATGATGTTAATAAATCTATGCGGTACCACAGCAACTGATGGATCTTGTTGCTCAGTTTCAGGTGGAGTCTGAGAAGTTGTAGCTCAGTCTCACTAATTTCGTGCCGGGTCCGCCTGATCTGGTCTTGGAGTAGGGCCTTGCTAGCTTTGTCCAGGATAGCTTGTGTCTTTCTAGTGTCTTTCTAGTTACAAGGTTGTCTTATCACACACGCGTGTCTTTCTAGTTACAAGGTTGTCTTATCACACACGCACTAGAAAGACACAAGCTATCCTGGACAAAGCTAGCAAGGCCCTACTCCAAGACCAGATCAGGCGGACCCGGTACGAAATTAGTGAGACTGAGCTACAACTTCTCAGACTCCACCTGAAACTGAGCAACAAGATCCATCAGTTGCTGTGGGACCGCATAGAATTATTAACATCATATATATATATATATATATATATATATATATATATATATATATATATATATATATATATATATATATATATATATATATATATATATATATATATATATATATATATATATATATATATATATATATATATATATATATATATATATATATATATATATATATATATATATATATATATATATATATATATATATATATATTTATAACCATTTGTATTTTTTATCAAATATGAAACCCGGAACCGATATAAACTTTGGAATTTTGGCATTTGATAAAGAGGAGTTCTGACATCGGCAAGTGCTTTCAGCCTCAGGGATAGGATTGGAACTACCTTATACTTCCAGACATCATTCACAGCGAGGATCCCTACAATGAACGACTCTCTTTGTAGTTTGAGGTCTGGTACACAGGCGGATTCAAAACAGTTAGAATATAAAGTAGTTCACTTAATGCACAAACACGAGAAACATTATCAAGACTGGCAGAATGTCGTTCTGTATTTTATCACTAACAAAAAAGAGCCCAAAAGCATATAAAATTATAAATGAAAATGGGAATATCGCCAAGTTGCGGCATGCGGGTGGTGATCTAAATTCATAACATACTAAGCGAGGCTTAATTCGTATCTAATAGTTTGTTACAATGCATTTCCGGGGTTTAGGAAACTGAGAATGCTAAGATAATAAAAACTGGAAAACTAAGTTCAACATGTGTTAACTTTAAGCTTACGAACTTTATGACTATGATTTTATTGCCTAATTGACTTTATTGTACACTTTAAAAAACTTTTTCGCCATCTAGTTCTTATATGAATTCCAATTTAATTTCACTTAATTCTAAAAAGTTCTATTTAATTCCTTTATTATCGATGAATATGAAACATAGAACAATAATCGAATAATATTGGCAATTGAATTAATTTGGTACTTACGTATTGTTGAGGCGCAGATTAGGCTCACAGTGGACATCCATATAAGAAGTACCACACACTTAGTAATCCCACTCATGACGGGCACCTGTAATGAAACATATTGCATATACCGTCTTAAATTATCATTATGAACAATAACTATCAATAATCCAATGTTACAGAAAAATATATCTGTAGCTAGCACACTTAAAGCTGTTAGTTTTGGTTAGTTTTGGTTAGTCTTCCAAAAGAGCTCTGATACATTTAGTGACCACTTGACAAACATCAAAAATCTATCGAAAACATTCTACTCTTTTTCTTCTTTTTATAAGGCTTTTGCCTTGTATTCTGTAGTCCGAGACGTAGCTGGGAAGATGAGCTAAAGTTCTCATGCCATTGTATGGGGGGACGTCCAGGAAGTCTGTTCGATCTTGGGAGACCGACTCTTGCGATTTTGGCAGTTTGTGGTCATCCATCCGTTCGACATGATCTTTCCATTCGCGCCTTCTGCTTCGGGACCGTCGTACAATATCAAGGACACCGCAAAGTTCTCATGTCTTCGCTTTTTTTGTGGTCCGTCAGTGTGTAGCCTGTTATAGATCTTAGAGTTCTCATCTCTGCTGTTCGGATGATTCTTTTTGTTGTCGAGTTTTCCGCTCTTGTTTCTACAGCGTATGTCATAACGGGTCTCACATAGGTCTTATATATGCCAGTTTTACCTTCTATGGACATATGTTTGTTTCTCCATATTGCATCTCGCAGGTACCCTGCTATTAAGGCTGCTTTGGTTGTTTGGCATATTACTTCTTTTTAGAGATCCCTGCTGCTTGTGACGCTGACGCCGCGATACTTAAAACTCATGACCTGCTCTACAGATTCATTGCATATGGCCAATTTACATCTTCTGGGCTCTTTTGATATCGTTAGTGATTTAGATTTTGCTACCGGTATCTCCATGTTGTATTTGGAGGCGATGTTTTCGAACTTAAAGGAGCATTCTCTGTAGGTTGTCTTCATCTTCCAATATCAACACGCCATCGTCCACATAGCAGATTACCTTTATTTCTTTGTTCCCTCGTCGGTATCCCTTTCCAATCTTCTTCACTTCAGATATTAGCTCATCCATATTCAAATTCAAATGCTTTTGTGAGATCTATAAAAAACATATTCTCTGTTTTATTGTATTCTATAGAGTTTTCAGCAATCTGGCTGATTGTAAAAAGATTGCATCTATTGCTGACCTATTTTTTCTAAAGCTTTGTTGTTCTTCACACAGCCCACAAGAAGATATTTCGTCCGACAGGATTTTGGTGAATAACTTCAGTATTAAGCTTAACAGCTTAACGTGATTCCCCGATAGTTTGCTGGGTCTTTTCTGTTAACTTTCTTAAATATTGGGATGGTTATGCTTTCCTTTCATTCAGTTGGTACTTTCTTGGTCTTAATTACTTTGCAGCTTAAATGATGTTCCGCTTCTCCGTACTTCAGCAGCTCGTTGGATATTTCATCTTCTCCAGCAGACTTGCGGTTTTTTAGTTTAATGGTCGTTTGTTCAATTCTCTCCTTAGACACGGTCTATGGCTCCTGAGGGATGCTAAGGTGTTCTTTCTCATCTGATCTGTATTTCACGTATTCTTTTCGTTTTTCATTTGCCAGTTGTTTTACCACATTTGTGAACCATGCTTTAATGTTTGGTTTGGTAGATTTGTTTGACATTCTTAGTCCTACAACTTCGGCGGCTTTCAGAATGTTTGATTTTATTATTTGCCAGGCAGTTTCGACATTGTCAGTTTCTGTAATATGATTACTGTGTATTTTGTCTTAGAGTCTTTGTTAATATAGTTTGATAGCTCCGAAACCCATCATTAAAGTGCCGAAAATGTTCGAAAGGGGTCGCGACCGTGGCACTTTGCGCATGTTTGATCAGTGCATAATTATGTATTTTATGACTGGGAGCCTATTAAATGCATATTTCAAAGATTCCAAGTTTAATAAAATGCGATAAGCCCTTTTGGAGTTCATGTCTTTTCAGAGATAGAGCAAGGAACAATAAACAAAAAAGATTTGAATTTGTCTGAGCTTTAAAACAGTACACGTACTAACTACAATTATTATTAAAAAAATTGTGTGAAATTTTTCATTCGCCCTTTGTCGATTTACTTTTGTTTTCATTTCTAGGACCGGCCGGTTCCCTTATACCGTACCTCGTTGTCCCTGCTGGGGTTGTGGTTTTTAAAAGAATAACTTTAAATTTGTTACTAGAAAAAACGTCGCCCTGTGTGAGCGTATTTTTGTTAACGAGATCATGTCATCCTTGAAATACACACATAGAAACAATCAATATCAACGTGGGAATATTTCAAAAAACATCTCCTGTTTTGTCGAAATACAGCAAAAGTAAAATTCAAAAACCCGAAAATACTTGCCCTACTAACTAAACGAATTTTAACGTCTGATTTTGTAGTGTGCCGTTTTATATTTTTATCAGATACCTGTCAATTTTCTTGCCGCTATGCGAAAATCGGAGATAAATTTAGTTACCCAACCTTTCAGAATCAATGGGACGTGGCGAATTCGATTTTTGAACACACCCGTGTCACGCTAGGCGCGTTGGCGCATTGTGGCGATTTTAATTTTGCCGCCCTTAAAATGACGAAATTGTGACAACCGTTCCGTTACAAAACGTGTAATATAATACACACATACAGGGTGTCGCAAACTTTTTTTTTTAAACATATTAAGTAAATCCTAGAAATATCGAGAAATATCGACGCAAAAATATTGACTATTTCAATACATATTTTGCTACATAAATAATTCAATAACCAATCATTTTTCATAAGAAAATAATTGATAACAATAAATTAATTGAAAAAAATCAAGGATATAAAACGTAGAAATCTCAGTAATTGGGAATTTTTTATGCTTCGTAAAATAATAAATATAAATAAACAAATAAAATTTGACTTCAATTGTAACTATACGCTGGCATCATACATAATAAATAAAAACATTAAATTAGAGATAATTGGTCATTAATGACACCCATTCAACTGAAAATGCTTCACAGAACTCAACTTTTTCTTTTAAGCTTCAAGTTCTTTTAGTCGTATTTGAGATTATTATAAATATATTGAAATGCGAGTTTTGACTAGATTGTTGGGCTCCTAGTAGACTAATAACTGGAAAGGTAAGCAATCGCAATCGCCTCGCATATAGCACGATGTACAGGCTAAGATAACCCTGTTAGGTCGCGTTTATTTAAAACAGCCCGTTTTAAACTATTAACGACGATCCGAAATGTATATCGTGTATTTTTTTTCAACAAGTACGGCTTTACAGACAATTATTGAGTAAGTTTATAAAAATATATATTCTGGAAAAAACCTTTTTCTACTCCGCTCTGTAAAATACCTAATTATACACCGATCTAGCATGCGGGAAGTGTCGATCCGAACCTCGAAAACTAATGGTCGTAGAAAAAGTATACTACGCAACACGATTGGTATTTTTTTTAAGTCACTGGTTTATTAAATACCCGCTCCGCTCGTGCAAATAAACTCGTGACTCAAATGCCGTTTACCTCACTTGTTGCATAATATACTATTACCTATATTTTATAAAAAAAACCCCCAATTTTCCGATTTTTGTCTCTCGACTGCTACCGAACTTTCACAATCCTTGCAGTCCCGGAATTCTTGTCGACTTGTCGAACACCTCTTTCGTTTTTAAACTGACTTTCGCAGATTGATGATCCACACATTCCAGAGGATAAATACGTTGAATGAGTCGAAGAAACTGTCCTTTAGCTGTGGTTATATTAATAAGATTAATTTTTCTAAATTTATTTGGAATTACTTTTACAACACATCACATCCGCCATCCCAAATGGCCTGCCATTATCTGCCAACCAACCTGACGCCTTTGTAGCAACTGGAGTTGTCCCAAATATTCGCTATGAAATAACATTTTCCGACAAAGTGTTTTTATATCAATTGCATCTAGGTCTCGCAAAAACATCATGGACATCAACGCAGTCAGTTCATTGGAATCAGTGAACAGGAAAATAATAATACGTGAATTTATTACGAACTCGCAATCACAAACCAAAATAATTAGTCGTAATTTAATGAAGTTCGTCCTATCACTTTTCGCAACAATTCCTTTACAATTCTTGCGAATCTCTCCCAAAAACCATCCAACTACGACCCGTGGAAGGAATAAAACGCCACTTAATACTTGCTTACTTACTACGACGGTACTGTACTGGAATATTTTATTAAAGTTTAATATCGCGAATGCGTTATTCGTGCCGCTAAAGACAATCTTCGGGCAATAAAACGTCTCAACGCCTGAAGGAGGCCCGTTACCGACAATGTCATACAAAGTTCAAAATGCACTGCTTGATAAAAAGTACAAGTAACTATACAATTCAAACCTTTTCTTCTATTTTAAGGTACAGGGGACCAGGCAAAATTCACTCCGGTTCTTGCATTTATCGATAGGTAAAGAAGGGCATTTCCATCAAAGGGTTTACTTTTCTGTTTCCTATAGACTACACATCTAGAGATCACAGATTTTATTGCTCGTCGTCCACTCAATATCCAGTACCTTCCTCTTAATATTCCCGTTTGGCATACTGAGGCATACTGACCTGACATGTTCTCGAAATATTAACTGAGTAACCTACCAGTGTTTTGAAGACGGTATTGCTGGAATTTTAAAGCATTTTAAATAGTCCCTGTTACTTTCTCTTAATAGCAAGACACCATTCTTTCTTATAAACGTGCCTAGAGACGATAAATGTATGTCTTTTGAATAAGCAAAAGACTTCGGTTGTACCAGCTCAACACAAACTCCTCATAATCCTGGAATATGGCGCCAGGCAGCCATTCAGTAGCATTCGATTTTCTAATTTCAGCTACCTTGCTTCAAACAAATGTGGCTCATTCTTCTTTATTTTATTTTAATTGTCGTATCCCAGTTTAACGATTCTGCCAGGCGTGCTGCAATAATAGCTTTGGAAGCAAAGTAGAGAGATAAGTAAATCCTATCGGGTCAAAACCACGCTGAGCCAAAGAGGGAGACCTTTTCGTAACAAACTTC